ACGGGGTTATATACCAGCTTTGAATGACTAAATTACTCATACAGGTTATATATTGGATTTAATTGTTAGCGTTACATTATGTATACATCCAAAAGTGACTTCCAGTAGATTTTTGTTTTCATTCCATCTTCAATGTAGACATCTTCATAAGTTGATGAAAACGTAACAGTGATAGGGCTCTGCCAACGTAACCCAGCAGGGTAGCTCATACTTGCCTCAGAGCTTTCACAGAGGTGATTTTAACTCACCAGAAGTTTCCTCCTGAACAGTCTTCTCCTCTGTGGGTTCGACTTCCACAGTCTTCTCAGCTTTTCTGGAATGCTCTGGTGTCAATTTGGATCTGAAACCAAATAGCACATTTTAACTTGAATCCCACGCAGTTTCAGGAAGCTCAACAGTCAGTCGGGCAACAGTGAGCAGAAGTTTACTCACAGTCTCTTCTTGTCCACCAGTCTCTTGACTCTAACTGCTCTCTGCTCAGAGTACAGCTTACATACTCCTTAAAGCAAAAACAAAGAGAAAAACATATAACTGCACAATTCTATGAACCAAAAACCTTTGAGTGCTGACAGGACTTGGTGTGATTTAGTCTGAACATTRACTAGTTTCAGGAAATTACCTGTCAGATACAGCTCAATGATATCCAGCACTGCACCCCTGTGCTCCTTAACCTGGGCTGGTGTCGCCTGCTTCTCCACTGGCAAACAGTAAAAATATTGTTTATTCATTAAAATATTTAACACAAAACATGCAACATATAAAATAAAATACACGCATCTCTGTGAAACACAGTTTCTTTGTGATTTGAATGACCACACACCTTCACTGCGTAGCTGCTTGATGGCATCAGAACAGGTTCTCATAAAGGTCTGAGCGTCCTGGTCGATCTGGTCTCGTTCACTGTCCGTCATACGGTTCAGATCTGTTGAGATGAGACTGTAATACACACAACATTGTAAGGACAAATAAAAATCTTATAGAAAATATCAGGATGTAAATAGTATTTCYCCAACTTATATATATATATATATATAAACAATGTTCTAGACAAAAAAATGCTGTGAATATTCTCCAGTTTTCATAAACTTATAATCATAAAGAGCAAATTAAGCATACAGTGTTAGAGCACAGAAGAGATCCTCAAGGAAATTACTTAAATGGACTTAAAATGTGGAGAATGTAATTTTGATTCAAGTGTCATCAAGACACAAGCTGAGGTCTGACCAAACAAGATGGTGTTGCCTGGAGGAGGGTGTTGAAAAGACCAGAAACACCCTTTGAGTTTAGGAACACTACAGACGTGTGCATCAGCATCAGCATCAGCATCAGCAGTATGTCTTGTAAGCCAGAAGAGGGCGCTGTACAACTCATTGTATGCATGAACTACTGCATCCTGCCCCACCTCTGCTATTCTGTGACCTATCTGGGAAAAACATAGAAACTTGTGCCGTCTAAATAAACTTAACCTTAGCTTTAATGGCCACCTATTATTCTRGTTTAGTTATAATATTTATTCCACCATCAACAATACTGTTTACAYATTTTTCTTTAAAAATGAAGGTATTCCTTGAAGGAATGCATATTACTTGCCTCCTTGCAWGTAAAGTCTTAAACAAAGATGTCACATGACTTGTTGGTGGAATGARTCAGCTAAAACCATGCCAAGTTTTACCTCAATATCTGTAAAAATATATTGAGCTATAGTCATATTTGTGTTTGTCATTTTAGTGATGACCATCTTCAATCACATCAACTCTAAAAGATAATCAGTTGTCACCACACGTACAGTGATTACATTCTGAGAGTTTTATCAAAATATGCCCTGTGGTTCATAAGATATTAAGCTAAAAGTAAGGCAGGTCAGTAACATCATCTTATGGGAAAGGACCTGCCAGATCTTAGTACAGGCATAAATCAGGAAGAAAAGCTGGTGTTGGTTAGGACACACTACGCAAACCATCAACTAACATCACCAGACAGGTCTTCATGTGGAACCCCCAAGGAAAGCGAAAGAGAAGCCATCCAGGKAATACGTGGTGACTAGACCTCGAGACTGATGCCAAAAAGATGGACTATACCTGGAGTCAACTAGAAAAAATGGCCCAGGATAGAAATCTTTGGAGTTCTACATTTGGCGGACGGACGGACGGTCGGTCGATCGGTCGGTAAGTAGGTAAGTAGGTAAGTAAGTAAGTAAGTAAGTAAGTAAGTAAGGAAGGAAGGAAGGTAGGGCTGACTTCAACAGATTTAAGTAAGCAGAAGAATGAATATCACCCAACATTTTGCATGCAAAAGTTTTAAACGARGACCTTCCACATTTTTTTGTCGAGGCAGGCTCTCAGAATACGAGTTAATGCCTCTCAGCTACTACCTCATTAAACTGTATTTGTACAATGACCAGAGACTGATTAGCTGTGGCAGCCATCTTTAAATAAAGTAACTCCTAAAGTTAATCAATTGCAGACCCCCCATTGATTACTTTGAGTTTTCCTAAGCTCTGTCCAGTGGTTCAAAAGATATTTTATAAACAGACAAAATACACATGTGCACACAAACACAGGCAATCACATCATTACTTGTCYCCAATAAAGACCGATCATAAAAAAGGAGAACATTAAAAAAAAAGAAATAATTGAGTGCTGGACCTATAAGTCAGTTACAAATACAATAAATCTGTTACATTTTTTTCAACAGCTACATAACTAACCTTTTAATATTTTGTCAATGTGTCCTACTGTGGATTTATCCCTAAATCTTACAAAAAGAGGCTAATCTGAACACACAGCCTCACACACACACAAAACACTGAGAACCCTTGAGCAAAGAAAGGCCTGGATTAATCCCTGGGCGTGATTTGTTCTACACTTGGTTGCAGCTCAATTATTCCAGACAATTAGACTGGAGCCTGCCTCGACAGACCACCCTACTTGCTGCTGACCTTGTGCTAGCAGCCAGCACACACACACACAACCACACACACAAGCGTGTTTGATAATAACCCTGACCTCTGACCTTTAGCTTGCTTTTTCTTTTTTTAACCAAAAGGATTCAGGATTGGTCTTGAAATCAGCTTTACCTAAAATCTTCAAAGGTTCTGTTGCTGATTGTTGTGGTTTCTTGGTTTATTCTGATTGCTTTGGGAGGCTTACCTTCCACCGCTCACGTAATCTTTTCGGTGCTGTAGCAGAAAGTCTCGGAGCTTGGTGATGTTTGCTACCTGTCAAAATAAAGTAAGAAGATGACACCTTACAGGACTTTCTTCCATTTGTCTCAATGAGTCACAGTTTTGGTCTTTCAGATGTGTTTGAGAAAGAAAATTATTGATGTGCTTGGACACACTTTTGCTTGCATTCAAAACCAGCCTGACTAAAGGCATATTTTAGTAAGTATTAAATCTGATGTTTATCTTAATTCACAGTATTTACCTAAGACAACTCATCAGTCCCTTGACATTAACAGTGATTTCCTGAAGAAACAGCTCGTTAATAAAAGCACGAGTTGCTGCATAAAGAACACAGACAGAGTCATGTCTAATAGGCTTTAGAATCATGATTGGTTACATTTTATCGTAGAGAAAATGTCCACGTTTATGTGTGTGTGCACAGGGAAATCAGAGGAAACTTGGTTCGGTCCAATATTTGCTGTTGCAATTTGGTCAAATATTAAAAAAGACCAAATTGCTTCCCCGTCCACAGGGCTCTGCTGGTGGGGTCCAAAGTGTGTGAATGCACACACAGTAGGCTCTGTTGGACCCAGAATCCAACGGGACTCCGACAAACCCCAGATTGAAAAATGACACAACGAGTTTGACTGTGACAGCGACTGCAGAGCGCGGGGGATTGTTTGCACAGCAGAAAGGACGATGTCTTCAGCCTTCAGAGTTTTCACTCTAACAACCTCAATTATCAAATTGCTTTGGCTGCAAGAAGTCACCTGGCATCCAACTTTAATGGCCTCTAAACATTCATCCATCAGGCTTCTYTGACTTAAAGCAGCATTTATTAAAGCTGATGCCTTAAAAAAAAGAAAAGAGAGAGAGAGAGAAAGAAAAAAGCTTTTCTTCAACATATACACAGCTACCACATTTGTCTGCTTGGACAGATAACAGAATGATGGGGTCAGTTAAGGTGGGCTGACCCTTGTAATAATACTATTATTAGAGGTCAGGAGGTAATTGTAGTTCAGTGCAATTGAGGGTTGAAGGAGAACAGAGTAGTTCTTACAGCCCGAAGTGTTTGTATGTAGCTATTCTGAACCAATGAGAGAAAACATGAGATGATTTTATCACTAGAGATCATTTTTTATTTTGACTGGAACAAAGTCAAATGATATGTTTAAAGTTAGAATGTACAGCTAAAACAATATGTAAATRAAACAAAATATTTGGGTCTGAATGCAACGACTGTTTAAAGTAATGTGTAAACATTTATATTTGTTAGAAATTATTCACAAAAACAAGATTTTGTTTAATACTTGGGCATGGATAAAACTGCAATTTGTTGCATTACCTCATGCTTTAGAATTAGGCAAACATTAGGAAGTGTTATAATATTGTTGAATATTGTCATGATGTCATCTGGAATTAGGGCTGCCACAATTAGTCGATTAGTGGACAAATAATCGATTATTAGTCGACCAATTGAATAATCGATAAGTCGTTTTTTTTGTTCTTTACTTTGTTTTTCTCTACAAACTGCTTTGACACCTTCCACTGCCACATCTACCTTTCTGTCCTTGACACACATGCACAGTAGTGGTAACTGGGGTAGGCCATGGACGTCACAAGACATTATACAGACAGGCTCTGGTATCATGGCTACCTGACAACAGAGCTCATCATTTTAAGAAAATAAAAGAGAAACCTGTGAAATATCTGCAAGGCAGAACTTACCTTCCACAGCAATTATTTTTAGTTAGCAT